ATATCTACACGACTGATTCAACTTATCAATGATGGTAATCGACTGTTGACAGATGTAGAAGGAGTACCAGCACAATACAGACCAACTGCTGAAGGCATGTTGGCTGAATATACAAAAGCCATCAATCTTTTGCGCGAAGCACCAAAATCTCATCCATCTGTGCAGTCTCTTGGAGTTGTGCTATCCTCTGCCGAAGGCATGATTCCAATTTTGGAGGAACATGCGAACAATTGGGACAAATTCGAGCAAGCAAGGGACGCTGCCACTAGACTTCTTGAAGCAGTTATCTTAAAACTCACAATTTTGCAAGAAAGGAGGGAACTGGTTCCCCTTCCAGTAGGCGAGCTGGACTTGCAAAATTTGAAGGTAGTTGTGAATAGGGACTCTGTTGAGTAACTTTTACTTCATTAATAATTTTTCCAGCATTTGTATGCAGACATCGAGCGGCTTCGCATCGCTGAGAAAGACTTGAACGAGATATCATTAACTCTGCAACCTTTGCTTCATGTTTCTCAAGAAGTTCGTTTCTTTACTGTTGATCAAGAACGAACAGAAAAACTGTATGAGGTAATTGATTTTGATACTATAAGCTCTCCATGTTGGAAGGATATCATAATTGCAGGAAATCATTGAACGCTTAGCTGCAGAGATTACAGCTGAAGCTCAGTTGAACAGAACACTAGATATACTCACAACTGAGCTTAACAACTGCAGTGAAGAGCTCTCAGCTGAAGATGATCACCAAAAAGACATTTTGGTGGGTTTTTTAGCTTATAGCGTGTTGTAGGTGCAATATGTGTATTATAAGAATAGCGCAGAGCCCTTCGAAATCTTGGAAAGTGTTTCGGAATTAGCAAATAATATGAAGAGCGGTTAATACATATTATTACTTGAGCTGCTGAGTATCTTTGAATACATAACATACATATACATACATATCCATTTCTTCTTCCTCACTAATTCACACGTTAAAAACTGCACAGAGCTTTTTTGGTGTACGTTTCGTGATGTGCTCAATAGAGGTCTTTGCAGAGTCACGAGTCACTCCTTCTGGACATCATTGCTCATTTGGAAAATCAAAAAGTGATCGTGGAACGCAGTGCACAAAGTCGCCGGTTTATCGAGAGCAGCACCTCGTCTAGCCTAGATCGACTTATGCAGCGTGCTCAAGACCTTCTGGAAGCGCTACGACAAGCGCCACAAACGAGCAGGGAATTAGCAGCAGCGGAAGAATACGATGTCGATGCTGCTGCTGAAGTCCTTGCAGCATTATATCCCGAGACACACCCTTACAGTGTGCTCGCTGAACATGGATTCGAGGGGCTTCCTTCAGATACCGAGAGCGAGTTTGAATCATTCGACGGCTCCTCTTCAGGGATGCTTTCCCCGATTCCAGATACCGCCACTGCTGTTGTGGCGGCTTCACAATTCCGTCGCCAACGGTCGCGATGGAGACGGGTTCTACGTACAGCATTGCCACTTCAGGTTAGTTACATTCAGCACAAACTTTAAGCTAAATACTGGGAAAACATTTTTTTGCTACACTAAAGATCCGACTGAGAAGGTGAGGGAAGGAAGGT